CCTGACATCCTACAGAGTTAGACGATCCCACCAAAGCATGTCATGAACCCATCCCCTTCTCTCTGGTTCCACTTCGACTACCCTAGTCACTGTGACTACCACCTTTCACCTGGATTATGGCTTGCTTCTACTCCTTGCAATGCGTTTCCCCCACAGAAGTCAGAATGACGCTGGTAAACGTAACTCAGACGCTTCCCATCACACCTCAACTCAGCGCCAAGCCCCTTCTCAAGCTCACTGACACCTACCAGCCACGGCCTTGCCCTCATCTCATGCTTCTCCCCCAGCAGTCCACTACCTTCTGGCACACTGGTCTCCTCTGTTCCTCAAACACAAACTCATTCCCACTCCACAGCCCTGGCACTGGCCTTGCCCTCTGCCTACAATGCTCCCCGCCCAACCCCGATTTTCCCATGGCTGGCTCCTTGTCATTCAGAGCTCAGCTTAAACATCACTTCCTGGGCTCTTCCTCATTCCCTCACGGGCAGAGCACCCTCTGTGAACCCTCCTAAGCGTTACTTATTATTCTCTGCTGTTTACATGTTCATCTATTATCCGCCTCCTCCACACAACCCTACTAGAATGTAAGTTCCAAGGGATCATTGTTTTGTGTGTCTTTTTCTTCACTCTAAGCCCAATACTGGATCAGCGCCCAGAGCAGTAAGAGGCACATAATTGGGAATCCAATAAAGACTTAATGAAATTAGATGAACGCATGCCACAGATGACAGAAGCCTCAAAGGCTGCTTCAAGGCAAGTAGCCCAGCACTGCGGCTAACATCCTGGGCTTCGGAGTCAGACGCAGATCACTGATGCCTTGCACTCAGGAGCTGTAGGAGTTCAGGCAAGTTTTCCCACTTCTCTAGGCCTTATTTATCTCAACTAAAAAGGGGACAACAGGACTATCCCTGGTGGCGCAGTGGTTAAGAATCCACCTGCCAATGCAGGGGACATGGGTTTGAGCCCTGGTCCGGGAAGATCCCACATGCCGCGGAGCAACTAAGCCACAACTCCTGAGCCTGTGCTCTAGAGCCCGTGAGCCACAACTACTGAGCCCACGTGCCACAACTACTGAAACCTGCGCGCCTAGAGCCCATGCTCCGCAACAAGAGAAGCCACTGCAATGAGAAGCCCGTGCACCGCAACGAAGAGTAGCCCCCGCTCGCCGCAACTAGAGAAAGCCCTCATGCAGCAATGAAGACCCAACGCAGCCATAAATTAATTAATTAATAAGGAAAAAAAGAAAAAGAATATTAAGGGTGGGGCGGGAGGGGACAACAGCACCTGCCTTGTGGGAGTGTGGGGAGAATTAAAGGAGATAAATCATGTGGAGCGCCTAGAGCAGGGCTCAGGACAGACAAAATGTTCGCTGTCATCAACTGCAGCCCCATCTTCCAGGTGGGAAAACTGAGACTCAGAAAGGTGCATGCGCCTTCGCCCAAGTTAGACACTGAGTTAACAGCAGAGTCAGGTTAGAAAATCCCCTTTTTAGTCCACTGCTCCACAGACCAGTTATTCCTTAGACAATAATAATAACAAAAATACCTGATATCATGTCATCGATTTATATATTCTGCCTTGTTCCAGAAAAAATCAGAAATACCTGACAAAAGATGCACACCGTTCATGGTTTTTTTTTTTTGAAGTAATAAAATTGGGAAGGGAGATGGAAAAATAAGGTGAAGGAAAGGGACAGAAATATAAGCCATATGTCTCATACCATTTGCTAGAGGTGGGCTTCACATTTGGCTCTGAGCTTCCCAGAGGCCAATATAAACCAGAGGGAAATACCTGTGTACATATGGTCCTTGGGAACACTTGGTTACTGAAATGTCACAGCACTGTGTGATGAGGTGTCACCACCCAGGTGAGAATCACCCTGGTTTTTCACACTCTTGCCAGCTGAATTCCACCATCTGCTTACTCCTGATCACATGCACTCTAAAGCCACACGACCTGGGTTCAGATCCCAGCCCCACTACTGACTGCATGATGTTGGACAACTTATGAACTCCTCAAAGCCTCAGGTTCTTCCGCTATAAAATGGAGGTAAAAAATAGTACCTAAGTGGATAAATAAAATGTGGTGGTATATATACAATTTATTACTATTCAGCCATAAAAAGGAAGGACATTCTGACAAATGCTACAACATAGATGAACCCTGAAGATATTATGCTGAGTGAAATAAGCCAGTCACAAAAGGACAAATACTGTATGATTCCACTTCTATAAGATACCTAGAAAATTCAAATTCAAAGAGACACAAGGCAGAATGATGGCTGTCAGGGGCTGGGGGAGGGGAAAATGAGGAGTAAAAGTTTAATGGGTACAGAGTTTCAGTTTTGCCAAGAGGAAAAGCATTCTAGAGATTGGTTGTCCAATATATGACTGTACTGAACACTACTGAGCTGTACACTTAAAAATGGTTAAGATGATGGGGCTTCCCTGGTGGCTCAGTGGTTGAGAGTCTGCCTGCCAATGCAGGGGACACAGGTTCGAGCCCTGGTCCGGGAAGATCCCACATGATGCGGAGCAACTAAGCCCGTGCGCCACAACTACTGAGCCCGCATGCCACGACTACTGAAGCCTGCGTGCCTAGAGCCCGTGCTCCGCAACAAGAGAAGCCACCGCAGTGAGAAGCCCGTGCACCACAACGAAGAGTAGCCCCTGCTCGCCGCAACCAGAGAAAAGCCCGCGCGCACCAACGAAGACCCAACACAGCCAAAAATAAAATAAATTTAAAAAAATTTTTTTTAAATGGTTAAGATTGGGCTTCCCTGGTGGCGCAGTGGTTGGGAGTCCGCCTGCCGATGCAGGGGACATGGGTTCGTGCCCCAGTCCGGGAAGATCCCCGCGGAGCAGCTGGGCCCGTGAGCCATGGCCGCTGAGCCTGCGTGTCCTGAGCCTGTGCTCCGCAACGCGAGAGGCCCGCGTAACGCAAAAAAAAAAAAGGTTAAGATGGTAAAAATCGTTATACCAAAATTAAAAATACAATTAAAACAATAGTACCAACTGAATCACTTTGTTGTACAGCAGAAATTAACACAACATTGTAAAACAACTACACTTCAATCAAATAATTTTTAAATAAATAAGTAAATACACACCCCACCCCCCCAAATAGTACCTACTCACAGGTAGCTGTAGTGGTAAATCAACGTAGGTCAAGTGCTTAGCCCAGTGCCTGGCACCCAGAGAGCAGTCAATGCATGTCAGTTCTCCTTACGGGCAGTCAAAGCATTCCCATTGCTACTACCAACCCTAACCTCTTGGTGCCCATGGTCAGCATCACAGCGGGAAAACATCCCAAGCCTCCATGCTTCAAGGTAGGCTCCTCCCACCTGGTGAACAGAGCCTACAATCATGGCCCAGGCACAGCGGGCCCAGGCACAGCGGGTAGGAGGTGGGGTGCGTGCAGGTTCCCGGGAGGGAAGTCCCTGTCTCCCCCGTGCTTCAGAGCCGCTCAGAGAGCTGCTTCCCCTCCCTTCCTCACCGACCACACAAGCCCAGGTGTCAGAGCACTTTCTCCCCTCTATTGTGATCTGTCACCTAACGCCATGGGCATCAAAGCACTTCTCCAAAACACATCTCCAACATCTTTCCTGCACTAGAGAAAGGGGCCCCCAAGCTGATCAGAAACTGATCTGACTACTAAGAGTTACTCATTAGGGCCGTGTAACATCTGGGGGACTGTAGTGGGGTGGTGCCCTCTTGGTCTTGGTCTCTGTCGAATGCTGCTGTCACATCAAAGAAGGCTAAAGAAGTCTCTCTCTCTGTGTGTGTGTGTGTGTGTGTGTGTGTGTGTGTGTGTTTAAAATCTATTCAGAATCAGGGCTCACCTATGAATGGGAACTATACTCCAGAATTCTTGCAGCTTTAAGAATAGTGGGAGAGGCTTAGATGGAAAGCCCTGATCAGTTTCTTTCAAGGCCTGCGCATAATTTCACCTCCACGGGTAAAGCTGAAGTAAAGGCCTCCAGTATTCAGTTCCTCCTCTTGGACAAGCTATCATCCTCTTTCAGGAAAGAAAAAGATAACAGGCAGCAAAGCAGATGGGAAGGTAGCAGCTCACATTCAAACAATATTCACATGACCCAAAGAAGAAAAGAGTAAGTAGAAACCAAAGAAGAAAAAAAAAAAGTGAAATTGAAAAACCAACAAATTCAAACCTTTCAGTCCATGTAACGTGATAGAAAGAGGTCTGACCTGGGAGAACTTGGTTCCAGTTCTCAATTTCTCACAAATTAGATCAATAAGTGTGGGCAACTTTGGCATCCTGAGTCCCAATTTCCTCATCTGCAAAATGCGCATCTTCTCTGCCTTTGTCTGAAGGGGCAGCTTCCACGTAGTAGAAGGAGGAATGACCCGAGCATAAAAAGATCTGGATTCTAATCCCACCTAAGTAGCCATGTACCTGCGAGGCAGGTGAGCTGCACTCCTGAGCCTCCCCTGCCCACCATCATGCTGTAAAATGAAACAGATCAATCAAATCATCCCAACTCTGGCAGTCCATCAGATCTACGCAGTGTCCACACACCAGGTATTTATTGCAGAGTGGATGCCGTGCAAATGCTATACAGACAGAAACCTTTTGCGTACTCTTAAGACCAACCATAACTCTGCTTTTCAAGATAAAACTAGCCCTCCCCAAGTGTCCACAAACACCCCTTCTGGGGTGCTACTCTAGCCCTAGCAATCAGACAGACAACAACACTCCCAAATTATCTTTCTCCCCAAATTAAGTTAGGCCTCAGGTGGGAGGAATAACTCTCTAATTTTTAATATACGAATAGAATTTTTCCTCAGGCATAGCCCGTCTCTAAATCCCACCGTGAGAAGTATTACCCTGGGAAAGCAGCTGTCCACACCCCAAATGAAAGCAGCTAGCGCTCCCAGCCACATGCCCCATCACCATGCAAGCGAACCAGCCCTCAGGACTCTGAGCCGTGGGTCTGCGGGCAGAAATGTCACTGGCTCTGGCAATAATGATATACTCACGCGCCGTCAGGCCCCACAGGCAGCTGGCCTTCCGCTGGCCCTCACTCTCTCTCACACACCCTGAGTCCCGCTGCAGGGAGGTGGTCCCCAGGCCCGAGGGGAACAGTACTGAAACCTTCTCTCCTCTGCTCCCAGAACAAGGGGCAAAGGAAAGAAGGGGGAGGGGTGGGGGGAGGGGGCGACTTTGTTTCTGGAAGCAAGAATTCAAATCCTGCTTCTCCTAAACCCTGAGTCACCTCCTTCCCTTCCAATAGATCAGTGTGGTGGGTAAACATTTCCATATATGGAGAAGCAGGCTGGAGGATGTCAGAAAAATCACCCTTCTCTCCTCTGGCACTTGAAGAACATGCCCCACTAAAGACAGAATTCCTTACTCAGAGTGAATGATTAACCCCCAAAGAAGTGGAGTCTCAACTGTTCCACAGGCTCTCCTGTTACAGGAAAAAGGCTCCCCTGTCCAGACAACGAAGTGCCTGGTTTGAAAGGCTTTAAGTTCATCTTAGGAATGGGGCCATCTAGAATGCAACTACATTTATGAAGTCAATTTATTAATGGGTGGGGGGGTGTTTAGGGGGATGCACCTGAAGAGGTCACCAAGAATCCAGGCCACAGTTCTTTCAGTGGCAGCTGAGTACGAAAACAACCCTTGGACCCCGATCCCTGACCCCCTTGGGCCTAGAGTCCTCCTGGGAACTTAGTTTCGCATGAGTTCTTCATAGGACAGACACCAGGCAAGAAGACCTAGAATAAAACCAGACTTCCAGGAGAAAACTGGGGTGGGGGGGGGGCGGTGGACAGTAGGGTGACATGCCCAATTTAATTTGTAAGATTCATTCCCTTAGTTTGTAAGATTCATTCTAACCCGAAGGTCCTGAAAAGTGTCCAGTGACTAAATTGAACCAGTGGAGTCAATCAGGGATGAATGTGGTCTGAAATGACCCCAGACTGAATTAGAGAAGAAAGGAGAGAGATGAAATGGCAGTGTGGGGAAGTCGGGGTCTGCTCAGAGAAGGAATCCGTATCTTGGCTTCCTAGTGGTTCTATTTCTCAGCACGATCTTATTCTACTGTTGGCTGTAAAGGCTTTCTGTAGGTCAGATGAGCCATTGTTCAGAATCATCGCCCACTTGCTGCTTTTTGGGCCTTCACCGTGACGGTGCTTTTTCTCATCCCAAGGCAACCTTCAAGCAATAAACACCACTGGTCAGGGAGCAAGGGCACCCAAGCCCTAAGCCCAGATCAGTCGCTCCTTAGCACTTTGGACAAATCTGTTCTCCTCTCGTAGCTTATATTCTCTCATCTACAAATTGGGTAGATATCCCAAAATTGTGCAACTATGTGCTCTAAAAGCAGCTTCTGTCCAGCCTATCGAACAGTCCTGACATTTATTTTGATCACTTGTTTTCCATTTTTGCAAGCACACCACAAGTACCTGAAAAATGGCCAACACTTCTTATTCCCTGCATGTTTCATAAGTAAACACAAATATAAATGGTTACTAAATGAGGTAAGGAAACAGGATCAGAAAACCTTCCACCGCGTGCCAGAACCAGAACTCAGCACAGAATTCTTGCAACTGCAGTACTCCCAAGCGGTCCCAGAAGTAGGCTTGAAGAGGGTACGGAGATGGTCCTCGTGTGTAACTGACACTAAACCAGCCATCAGACTTAGTGCTTCTGTAGAAAGACTGTCATCCTTTCAGGAGCTCAGAGGTCCTTCCAATATTCCAACGGGAGCATTTCAGCAGAGGAAAGAGATATTCCATGGAAAACAGCTACCCAGGGATGACCTGGGAACTCTGTAAACCAAGGACCCAAGGAGGGAACTACAGAGACAGGAATGAAAACCAGAACGAAAGGCCTAAAGCTACCCTCCATTCTGCTAGCAGCATTTGGAGATCAGTTTCCATATCCACAAAGCAACCCTTCATTCCTTAATGTATGTGTGTCTTTCTTCCTCGTGACCCCTGACAACCACTGGCTCTGGGATCTCAGGGGAAGAAAAGACCATAAAGGCCACTGAGCCCAGTGTCTCTCCTATTTATGAACCAAACCCTCCCCCCATGGCATCCCTGAGGTCTCCAGTGAGGTGGAGATCATTATCTCCTGCAGCTGTAAATTCCATCTTTCCAACAGAAAGTTCTTCCTTATATGGACAGAGGCCTTCAACCTCTGTCTCCTTATTCTGCTTCTTTGAACCATACAAACAACCTATGTCTGTCTCATGGGTTTGGAACTTTTGTAGGTGAATGTGCCTACAGAAACAAAGCTCTCCAAGATCTCATTCCTCGGTCACCCTGGCTGCCTCCTGCCAACTTGAGGCCCATCCTTTCTGGAATTTTCCAATAAGCATTAGTGCTTAGCAACCCATTCTGCATATGTACTGCTGGCCTTGTGGGTTCACAAGACGTACCCTATTAAATCCCAGTCACTGAGAAAAGAGAGAAAACAGACTTTGTGATCAGTTCCTCATCCACCTGGACCCCATCACCCACACCACATTCCCACCCTTTGCGGACGAAGCTCAGGAATGCAGATCCCCTCCCCAGTTCCCCACTCCTGCTCTCCAGCCTGGCCAACCTAAAACTGTCTCCAGGATACAGGACTGTTTCAAGGAACATTAAGAGCGAGCTCTGTAAGAAAAGAGCACCTTGCCAACATAAGCGCTCTCAGAATCACAAAGGGCCAATTGGCTGAGCACAAGGCTGGGAGCTCGTGATCTCTGACAACTGCCGGCACCATTCTCCTCGGTGTCCTTTCGAAATGGGGGGAAAAAAAATGTTCTTTTCTGCCACAGTTCTGATGTGGCACTATTTGAATTCAAGGTACGTGTGATAATGATGCCTCACATTATTGCATTCTTTACAGTTTAGTAAGTGCTTTACCAGACAGTCTCATTCAATCCCTACTGACAACTATCCCTGGAGGATTATACCCACTGTAGTGATAGGAAAAGTGAGGCTCAGGGAGGTTAAGTATATTCCCAAGGTCACAAAGATGGTAAGTAGTGAAAAGAATGCTGGTTTAAGGGTTAGACTATTTAAGATTCCAGTTCCAATTCTGCTGCATATGAAATAAATGACCTCTGGCCAACTGTTTGACTTTTCTAAACCTCAGTTTCTGCGGCTGAAAATTAGAGATGAAAACAGCCCCTCTGCCTACCTCTCAGAGCGGTTATGAGGATCAACTGAGATAAGGCTAGTGAAAGCCCTCTGGAAAATGGGTAGGCATTACAAAAGTGTAGGGGATTATTGTGATTACTTGTCAATGACTGTGCATTCCATTACAAACACAAAAAGCAGCAAGGTCATTCTCAAGACAAAGACACATTAAGGCTCTGGGAATTGAAGGGAAATGATACGACAGTTCTGCAGGGTTCTGTCTATATGCTACTCATTCGTGCAGTTGAAACTCAGCATCAACTGTCAGATTTTCAGCCCCACATCACAAATGTCCCCAGGACTGCTCAAGACAAACTCGCCCTTTTCGGCTACAAGCAAACGCCAGGCCAAAAGGAGGTAACAGAGATGGGCGCTGGGAAGACCCCCTGAGAGTCTCAGTTCTGAAAACCTGACCTGCAATGTTTTCCTTGGAGAACTTGTTAGAAACACAGGCTCCAGTCTCTCTGCAACAAGCCCACAGGGAAAGAAACGCACGGTACGGAGCTATTTACCAGAGAACACTAAGGAAGCTCCCGAGCACGAATTAATCAAGGGTACAGGATATTTCAAGCTGCAGATTGCAAAAGAAATCTCCAACCCATTAAACCTCCAGCCCAGCTCACAGAGGCTCAGCCTGGCATTCGGGCAGCCCAGGCTGCAGAGAGGCCCGTTTACATACCAGAGGTCCTGCAGCAGGTCACCAGGAGCCAGAGGCACCCAAGAAGATTTGAGAGCTCAGGTGGGAGAGCCTGGCTTCCTTCAGGCCTCCCCCAACACACTAGTCATCAGGATTCTCTTCAATTCCTGCAGAGATCCAAGTCAGCCATGGCATTTATGGAAGGGCCGGATCTTCCCCAGAAATCCATTCTCAAGGCTGATGCACACACAGCTCAACGATGACTGTTTTCCAGTTTGCATTTGATCATCTGCTTCCTTGTGCTTAAAGGTGAAGGAAGACCCTACATTATTTTGTTGCACAGATGTGTGATTCCTAGCATGAGTGTGCGCTTGCATCCTCAGGGATGCTATAGCAAAGGGCTTTGAGATGCAAACAACTTTGCATCTCAAAGAGCTCACAAGCATGAAAGAGAAAGGCTGACCATAATACAGGACAAGAGACTTCAGTAGGGTCCCCCTCGATGGGAGAGATGGATTTCCGGGTCAGCTATTAAGAGCGTAGGACAGGAAAAGGGGGAGGTGAAGGAGTAAAGGACATTCCAGGCAAAAGGAAAGATTTGAGCCCAGGTGATAAGGGGCTATGTCCAGTGAACAGCAAGCTTAGCAGATGTGTAGG